CCCCACCCACCCACACCCACCAATTGAGTCAGTCGGTTTATCTAGTTTGCAATTATTTATGGTACAACCCACTTTTCTCTTGGTTAAAAGAGGGCTGAATCAGATTGCTTTTACAGGATCCAAAGTTGTTGGCTGCTTTGGTAGAGAGTAAAAAGAGGCAAGCTCCTTATACTGGTGCCTTCCTTCTTAAAGACGAGGAAGGGGCTGAGGGTTCAGATACAGACAAGAATATATATGACCTTAAGGGTAAAGATTTGCTCAAACGCCTTCATGAAGTTGGTACACTTGCTCAGGTGAAATCCTCTCTGGTTTGTTGGGCTATGGCATGCATTCATATTTCTATAATGAAGTACCTTAGATTGACCAAGCTATTTTCGTGGCATAGATTACAAGCATCCAAGGAGACCAGGTTGTCCTCATTGGCCACAGACGACTTCGAATTACAGAAATGGTCAGTGGAAGCATGTGATCTATTCTTGTCATTTTCATCCCATCTTAAAAATAGACTCGATGTGATATGTGAAGTAGTTCTCTTGTTATTTCTCATTCAAAGTGTTGCCCTTTGTGAACAATTAGCTTAACATAGACCAGTACATTATATTAGTTTTCTTTTTGCTACACAAATACACACGCACATATATGTGTATGTTTATATTTGTGTAAGATATTACATTTATCTGTATCAAATTTTGCTCAGCTGTGCTGTTCGTCGTTTTCAGGTCAGTGAAGATCCTCTGACTGTCAAAGTTGATCATCTCAAGGTATGCAAAATTGGTTCACCCGCCTACTTGGATTTCTCTTTGACCAAAGCATCCATGGATGCTTTCTTTACTTTATTTTTGTTTTATATTTCAGGAAAAACCGTTTGACAAGGATGATGACATTCTGAAAGCCACATCATTTGAAGTTATAGCAACTCTGAGAGATGTTTTGAAAACCAGTCCTCTCTGGCGAGATCATGCACAAACTTACACCCAGGTACCATTTCCCAATCAATGCCAGCATTTTTGTAGCGTAAGCATATTGGTGTTGTTAGATGTTGAAGAAGTTTATTGATGACTAAAATGCATTGCTTGCGACATTTTAATGTCCAGAATTTTCAAGCTATGTTTATGCAGCAGTAGTTCTGATGTAATGGAAATTGTAATGCTGTAGTCTTATGGAACTTGCATGCTAATTTCTTTTAAATATTTAAACTAATTCAACCATTTTACTGTGAATATGACACTTGTCTTGTGGTCATTAAAGATATGATGTGATGTTATTATTGTCATTGAATTTTCTGTCTTAAGATTTTTGTTTTTTTTTTGTTTCTTTGGGATATGTGTGAAAATACCTTCTTCTTATAGTTTGCAGTATATTTGCTTAACCTTTTATTAAAAGTTATAACGATCTTTTCTCAAAATCAAAAGTACAGAGTTACTATATTTAGAGCGTGACTATTCAGCGTTTGCATTTTATGCTCTCCTCTAACTTGAAATATCTGCAGCACATAGGAGATTTCACTTATCCAAGAGTGGCAGATTTTGGGGCAGCAATATCAGGTGCCAATAAATTACAATGTCAGCAAGTGCTTGAAGAACTTGATGTAAGTAGCCAACTCCACATAGTATATTTCACAAACTGCTCTCTTTGTGACGAGTTTAGTTCTTTAATTTCGTTTTATTTTGCTATTTGAAAATATACTCACTCAACTAGAGTGTCTTCAAAGTCTCGAAGAAAAAAGCCTTCGGGTCTAACCATACTTACAATTTTTGGGCACCCTTCGATGCATGTCTAATCTTAACTTAGTTTAGCCCAAGACATCTCTGATGCACTATGGATTTTCACTTGATAGATGCTTGGCCAAAAAAAGAAAAATAAAAAAAGAAGATGGAAAGGATACAACACTGGCCGACAGAGATTTTTAATTGTTGTATAGTATGCCCATGTATCTGAAACTTTCACGTTTCTGAGCCTATCAAATTTTGACATTCAGGTGCATAAAAGGCTAAAACTCACTTTAGAGTTAGTGAAGAAAGAGATGGAGATTAGCAAGATCCAGGTATGACTGGCTAGATAATACATCGGTTTAACACTTTTACTATAACACTTTTAAATGGATTCTCCCTTAATCTGATTTCCTGTTTTTGGTTCTACTCAGGAATCTATAGCCAAGGCCATTGAGGAGAAGATTAGTGGGGAGCAGCGGCGCTTCTTGTTGAACGAACAACTTAAGGCCATAAAGAAGGCATGTTTATTAGTAGTGTTTTTAGTTTATTTATCTGATTGTTGGATCATGTTATCTTGTCTATATTGTTTATTCAGTTGACAAGTGAGTGCTTGACTTTGAATGATGATTGTGATTTTGTGCAGGAACTGGGATTGGAGACTGACGACAAAACTGCACTTTCTGGTTTGTTCTCTTTAATCAAACTTGAATTTGTTTTAAGTTGTTTCTGTCAACTGTATTATTGGTCACTGGGAGAGTTGCATGAGAAAGGTGACACATTTGACTGACCATCTGGTCTGGATTAAGCAGTATTTTTGCCTGAGAAGTATAGTGGTGGCACTCGTCCAGAATCCTCGGATTTGATTATGAATCAAATACACAGTGCTAATTAAATAGTTACTAATTTCTATATTTGTTGCCTTGTAAATATCCTACTTGTGGTACTTTAATTTTCTTTTGTGATGATTAAATCACATCTTGTACATATGCTATTGATATTGCTTTTTTAATGGTATGCATTATACGAACACATATGTGATTTATATGGAATTATTTCCTGGAATTTAAATGGAGCTCCTTCAAAACAATCTTTAGTAATATATATATGTGTGTGTTTGTGTGTGTGTGTGTAATTATAAATCAGAATTCCTGGATGATATTTAGAATTTACATTCACTTTATTTACTACAGCAAAGTTCAGAGAAAGACTCGACCCAAAGAAGGATAAAATCCCAGCTCATGTTTTGCAAGTCATAGAAGAAGAACTGACAAAATTACAATTATTGGAAGCAAGTTCAAGTGAATTTAATGTCACACGCAATTATCTTGATTGGTTGACTGCGTTACCTTGGGGAGAATACAGGTTTATATTCCAAATATCATCTCCTATGCTTGTTGCTGTGTCTTGGTTTCTTTAATCCATGCACTCCATACGTTATTAGTTTCAGATCTCGTATGCCCTTGCCTTAATTGAATTGGTGAAGAAGTTTGTCGGGGAAAGAATTAAAATAGTTAAATGAGAACTGAAAATCCATGTCACTTTGTAACCTACGTTCATGCCTAATTTCGTTTGTACCAAACTACCAATTTATTTGCTCATGAAAAATTAAATTGCATATGTGGCTGGAAAGTATTTAGTAAGTTTGAACTGATCACATCCCTATTTCTGAGCAGCAATTTTCTCCAAATAGCTCGTTTCCTCTTCATGTTATGTTTGGAATTAATGGACCCTATTGGTGAATGTGATTTTCCTTTCATACCATCAGTCTGTGTCTTCTTTATAGTCTTCATGTTGCACTACAAAGTAGGATTTGTGGCCTGTTGTTGCCACTTAAATCTTCTTTCTTCAAAACTATTAACACGAAAGCATTTCATGACAATTTTCAAATCAATTAAAGGCAGGTTAATTTCTAGTTCTTTACGTTTCCAATCAGACTGTCACTATGCATGAAGTTAAAAACTTTGAGCTGCCACTCAAAGATGTGGTTCTATCAATTATTGTTCGTATTATTAAACTTACGGACTACAGTAAATGGCAAAAATACGACAACGGGGTTAAACATATAAGCTATTTGATTTTGTATGCTACGCATGGTTACATATGTTGGTGCCTTGCCATTTCAGTTCACAACAGCTGGAAGTATTGTTGCTATAAACAGTAGGTATGTAACTCATGCTGCTAACGATTTTTTTTATCATTGTTCAGTGATGAGAACTTTGATGTAATTCAAGCTCAAAAAATTCTGGATGAAGACCATTATGGATTGTCTGATGTTAAGGAAAGGATATTGGAGTTCATAGCAGTGGGAAAATTGAGAGGTTCCTCACAAGGTTTGGCAGCTCATTATTTTCTTTCCTGTAACTGGAATAGTATTTATTTTTGCATCAAAAGGGGTAAGGGCAATAAAAATAAATGTTCTTTCAACAATTTTCATTTAATGTGTAGTTAGCGACTAGTGTGCCTGTGAAGTCAAACACAAAACCAAACCCAAACACAACCTTGATGTGAGAAAAACATTCGGTCAACGGATACTTTTCTATTTTGACTTCAGATACATTGATTACCCCTTTTTTGGTGGTGGAAAGCAGTACATGGATGTCAGTGACATTAGAGAACTTTTTTGTGAATGAATTGACTTTGATCATAATTGATTGTGTGGTTATGAAATTGAAAGAGTGAAAGTAGTGCTGAACTCCCCCCTTCCCTCCCCCCTCTTTTTTCATTTGACTGCTTACAGGTAAAATAGTTTGCCTCTCTGGCCCTCCGGGAGTGGGGAAGACGAGTATCGGCCGTTCCATTGCTCGGGCTCTGAACCGTAAATTCTACCGGTTTTCGGTTGGAGGTTTATCTGATGTTGCTGAAATCAAGGTAACAATTGCATGTTAGTTTACCTACGATGATGGTTAAACTTTATGACTGAGACACATTATTAAAATCGGGAAATTTTGCAGGGGCATCGGAGGACCTATATTGGTGCCATGCCAGGGAAGATGGTGCAATGTCTAAAGAGTGTGGGAACTGCTAATCCTCTTGTCCTGATTGATGAGATAGACAAGGTATTTCTATATCCCACTTGGGTCCACTTTTATGAATGACTTGCATTTTCTGTTCGTCATGCATGATATATAATCATATTGGTCTTTGTAGCTTTCAACAACAACAACAACAACAAAGCCTCTTAGTAGCTTTCCTTTTTTTTTTTTT